GTGCGTGTGTGTGTCTGTGTGTGTGTGTGTATGTCTGTGTCTGTGTGTGTGTGTCTGTGTGTGCGTGTGTGTGTCTGTGTATGCGAGTGTCTGTATGTCTGTGTCTGTGTGTCTGTGTATGCGTGTGTCTGTGTGCCTGTGTATGCGTGTGTATGCGTGTGTGTGTGTATGTGTGTCTGTGTGTGTGTTTGCGATGCGTCTTGTTGTAGAGTGTGTCTATAGGGATGAAAGAGTGTGACCAGAGATCTTGGATGCCTTGTTTATGATGCGTTGGAGTTTGAATCTAAAATACCAGACTATTATTGGCGAGGTTAGTTCAGAAGTCCCTGACATTAGCATGGATGGAGCTAAAGACGACTCCAGGTCTGTGACTGATGAGGCACAGTGTTAGAACAGCGTTTATCTCCAACTTTATCTGTCATCACTTCAGCTGTCGTCCGTTCATTTCTATTCACCTGCTGTCCCATTGTCTGCTTCATGGCCTCCTCCATCTGCACCTGGGGTCTGTCTCCCCCGGTCCGGACGGTGATGGGAGACCTTTGGGAGCAGCAGGTGTCACTGTGGGTGTGGATGGTTGGTGGTGGGAGGGGCTGATGACACAGACGGTAAACCTCGCTCCTGACTCTGAATAATGTGAACAGCTGTGAATGATGAATAATGACACGTTTGGCGTCTTTGAGAGCTACATACGCTAATACGCTAACCAATGTATTATTATTATAGTCTCAGTCCTGGGTCCACAGCCTCAGTCCTGGGTCTACAGCCTCAGTCCTGGGTCCACAGCCTCAGTCCTGGGTCTACAACCTCAGTCCTGGATCCACAGCCTCAGTCCTGGATCTACAGCCTCAGTCCTGGATCTACAGCCTCAGTCCTGGGTCTACAGTCTTGGTCCTGGATCTGCAGTCTGTCAGTCTGTGGGAGCGCATCCCTCTCTCAACATGGGCCTTCCTGAGGTTTCTCACTTTTTCCCACTGGGTTTCTGAGTGGATCCTGAGTGGATTATAAAACATTATTAACATAAATCCTGCTCCCTATGAACCAATGGCTCTATGTGTTTGCTCTTAACTTCAGCTACAGTGAAGTTTAACTGGTTTCCTCCAGGTGCTCCGGTTTCCCCCACCACTAAAAACCTGGAGCATTGGTGTCTTTACTGCAGTAACTGTTCTGTCATTATAGATATTTTGAAAAAAAACTATGAAACGCTGAGTTGTAAGACCTGCCTTAGTCCTAAACTAGACCCAGTCCAGTCCAGTCATGGGTCTGGTTTGAAGGTGGTGGAGCTTTTGAGTATCAGTCCCACCTTAAACAAGTTACACACATTTAGTTTACAGTTTTCGCCCCTTGTGTGACCACTATAGACACATACTTAGACCAAAATAACAAAACCTGAAGCTTTCGTACTATGCCTTAAACACAGTCTAATCATTCCTTAAACAAGAAACGCTTCTTTGCACTTTACTTTCATTGAAACACACTTTCTCCTGTGTATCGTCTTGACGTTTGTCCAGTCTATTGAAATACTGAAATTAGAACAAAACACATTTTCATAAAAACTTTTATTTACAGTGGATCATAAATTAACAGCAGTTATGGCAGAAGCAGCAGCTCTAAAAATATCTCAACATATTATTATCTTTAAATCATTGGTAAAATCAAACGCGGATCAAAGGAATGTAACATTGGAAGTTTAAACAGTGAGGTCCCCTGAGTCTGCAGTGAAAGGGTCAAAAACCACAGGCAATATGATCAAAGAGGGTTCAAAAGCAAGAAAAGCACAAACTAGAGGTGATTCCAGTGTTATGGCCTTAGTCAGGTCCTCATCACAGAAAACATTCTGCAATATAACAGATGTACGATGGTCCCTGACTCTTACATGGTCCGCCATCGCTGCTAACACCATATGACAGTTAGCTTTATTCAAAGTCAGAAGAAAACAACTTTTGAGGCTTGTGTGCACCGCGATTATTATTTAAGAGGACTCTCTCTCAGGCGTTTCTCTGGTCTCTCATTCTTGTCCCTCTCTGTGGTCTTTTTCTGGTCTCTCTGTGGTTTCCCTGGTCTCTTTCTAATCTCTCTCTAGTCCAGTTCCTGTCCCTCAGCCTGGTGTCCACTGCAGCTGTATAATACACGGCTTTTGACAGCTGCAGCAGCGCTCAGACCTGCAACTAATAGGTCTCTCTCCCTGGTCGGTCTCTCTCCTGGTCTCTCTCTGGTCTCTCTCTGGTCCCTGGTCTCTCTCTCTGGTCTCTCTCTCTGGTCTCTCTCTGGTCTCTCTCTGGTCTCTCTCTGGTCTCTCTCTGGTCCCTGGTCTCTCTCTCTGGTCTCTCTCTGGTCTCTCTCTGGTCTCTCTCTGGTCTCTCTCTGGTCTCTCTCTGGTCTCTCTCTGGTCCCTCTCTGGTCTCTCTCTGGTCTCTCTCTGGTCCCTGGTCTCTCTCTCTGGTCTCTCTCTGGTCTCTCTCTGGTCTCTCTCTGGTCTCTCTCTGGTCTCTCTCTGGTCTCTCTCTGGTCTCTCTCTGGTCTCTCTCTGGTCCCTGGTCTCTCTCTCTGGTCTCTCTCTGGGTCTCTCTCTGGTCTCTCTCTGGTCTCTCTCTGGTCCCTGGTCTCTCTCTCTGGTCTCTCTCTGGTCTCTCTCACTTCAGCAGTGGTGAGTTCAGGCGGTTAGAAAAGTGTATAAAGTTTTAAGAGATTTACAGCCATAAAACAAACAGTTGCTACTGAGAGGATTGAACTTATTGTGGGTTATTTTAGAACACATCACCCCCGTCATAAACCAGGGACCACCGCACTTTGATTAATCATCGCAGCTCTACTCGTGAAATCAAACCACATTTAACAAACTCAAAGTGAAAACCTCAGTAGTAAAATAACAATGTGCTAATGTGCAAAGTTTACCATTATGACCTATGCTGCATTTAAGAAAAACAGTTGAATTAAATTGATTTTTCTCAATTTTGGTTTCACAATCTCAACCTGAAATGAACCACAAAAATAAAAAACTATAGTTAATTTTGATGATTATAAATGTATATTTATACATTTATAAAAAATGTATATTTATACATTTATAATGTATTTTGGTCTAAAATACTCAGAATAGCTGATGTTCTGCTCAAAAGCATCAGTCCAAACAGCCTTAAAGCGTTTTATTATTATTTTTAGTAGTATTTATATGTTTGTATATTTATTTGCAAAATGCCAGATTAGTTTAAACAATAAAAAACGTGGTCTCGTTTGGTCTATATTCTCGGAAAGGTCCACATCGCCACAAAAAACGGCCGCTTTAAGGCTACGTGTCGACGTACTAATCAGTCATGCTAACATGTAGCCTTAATCCACATTTTAGGTTTAATATGTTAAAGAAGTTAAACACGCGGTTTCTTTTGGTCTAAAATACTCAGAAAGGTTCACATCCTCTCTTCACTCTGCGGAACGACAAGTCTGAAGCATATTGAACTAATTTGGACTGAAGCTACATGTTAGCATGATGGGTTTATCCAGTAATGCTAACACGTAGCTTCAATCCAATTTAGTTCAGCTCTAATTAAAAGCGTGGTCTGTTTCTGTCGAAAAGGTCTAAAAAGGTTCACATGTTCAGGTTATATTTTAACAAAATGGTCACTCTGAGGCTACGTGTTAGCATGGCGAGCTAATCCAGTGTGGGACTGAAAAACCTGAAGTCACACTATCAACTGAAACGAAAAAGTAATACACAAATAATGACCTAAAATTGTTTAATAATTTGTCAATTTTAATCATTTAGTTTTGCTTTGTACAAACAGTGGATAGGTCTATGATTATTATATCATTCTCAAAACTAATTTGGTCATTTATATTTCGACAGCAGACTAGACGTAATCCATCTTTAAAAGGATTAATGGATTCAGAATTGAAAGATGAACGGTATATTACACACAGATTGGCCGAGCGCTGACATCACTATAATGTTATTGGTTATTTTTAGCAGGAATGTGGAGCCTAAAGTTAGCAACTTCTGCAGGTACTGTAGCAACAGCTGAGTTACCAAGAGCCAATCAGGAGCGGCGCCGGTCGGTCCCCACGAACACAACTCACCGCTTAAACCGAATTCAGAAAGTTCATATGTGGATTTACAAAGACAACATCACAAAAGAAACACTAGGATCATAGAAGGCGCTAAACCATGGATTCTTCACTGAGCTACAGTCTACTTTGCAATGCAAGTCACTATGAGCACTCCCCTGTGGGCCGCAATGAGCTAGCACGTTAGCAATGAGCTAGCACGTTAGCAATGAGCTAGTGCGTTAGCATTGAGCTAGCACGTTAGCATTGTTAGGTTGTAATTATAGTATTTTATGTTTTCTTTTAAATAATCTGATTTCTGCCATTGCAATAACGCACATTATTAGCACAGTCCAAGAAAGTCTAAAATAAAATATTTTTGATCAAAGAAAAGTCCTTTGTAAATAATTAAATTGAGAAAATGGGTTTTATTGATATATTAATATTTTCTCTTGTAGATTTGAAGACTGTAAAAATATATATTCTACCTTTGTAAAATAATATGTATTTGAAACTGAACTTAATTAGAAATTGACACAATTATTAAAATACAATATTTGCGTATTTTTTGTAGAATGTATTATTTTGTTGGTTGATTGTCATTCTGCACTTTCCTTTCTATTTTTTGTGCTTCTTCAAGTTTCTGCCAAAGTAACAATAAATATAAAATTGTACGCACATCTCTCGATCATCAAATAAAATCAAAAATATTATATTATATTAATCTGAGAATCATAAAGTACCTCTTCATAGATTAAAAAGATTTGTATAAACAGCATATCTCCGTCAAAACTATAAATACATGTTAATATCTCTTCTACAAAAGTACAGCTTCAGTTCTTTGGCGAGGAGTCGTGAGTAACAAAAGGTTGCGTACATTCCATGAGAATCTGTCTTTTTCGTCACAGTTTTGGAGTTTTGTGCAGGTTCAGCTGGAGCAGGAGTCTGCGAAGGACTCAGCATCAACAGAAACTCTATGAAAGAAGAAAAACAAAATGACAAGTTATTCAGTTGAACATTTATGGATTTACATGAATATGAATAGCCTGGTCGTACCACACCATAGTACTGATTACATTTCATACTAAGGTCTGGATTTGTTCCATTGAGCTCCGTTTACAGGTGGGAGGGGTTAACTCCTTCTGCAGATTGAAATGGATCTGAGTTTATCGTGACGTTTGTAATGCGCCCATAACCAAATATTGGTCGGATGGAATTCAACCGATTGTAATCGCAGACACAGGGACCAGACCCAGACGTTACATACAGGGAAATGATGATTGAGAGGAGTGTTCGGATGGATAAGGCCAGAATATGAAAGGATCTCTGAATGTAATTAACTACTTTCACCACTCGCTTTAGACTTTAAAGCAGCTCTGTTTGTTACAAGTCTCTCCATGGCCTCAAAGCACATCTGTGACCAACTCAGGGAGCACAGGGACTGGCCTCATGCTGGGACTCTGAGGAGCACAGGGACTGGGCTCATCCTGGGACTCTGAGGAGCACAGGGACTGGACTCGTGCTGGGACTCTGAGGAGCACAGGGACTCGCCTCGTGCTGGGACTCTGAGGAGCACAGGGACTGGGCTCGTGCTGGGACTCTGAGGAGCACAGGGACTGGGCTCGTGCTGGGACTCTGAGGAGCACAGGGACTGGGCTCGTGCTGGAACTCTGAGAAGCACAGGGACTGGGCTCGTGCTGGAACTCTGAGAAGCACAGGGACTGGGCTCGTGCTGGGACTCAAACTCATTTTATTATTTGTTGTAACTATTGTTTTATACTTTATTACTATTATTATTACTTGTGTTTTTTTTTCATAAGGGGAGGATAGTGGGAAAAAGCATAGAATAAAATAAAATGTGTCTTTCTATGCTAAATTTAAAATGTAAAAAAAAAAAAAAAAAAATGAAGATGACACAACAAAGTAAAAAATGAAATAAAAATTGCCTCTAGGGTCAGTTTTCACATGACTCACAGCAGAAGGGTCCGCGTCCGGCAGAATGTCCATCCCACTCAGCTGGTCCAGGATCAGGCCCTCGCTCCCCTGTGCACAGAGACCCGTGAACATGTGGTACTACTGAAGACACGTGAACATTTGTATGTACTGAACAGAGCGCGTCCTCACCGTGTCCGCGGCTATGGTCCCCACTGAGCCCATGTCAGAGAACATCGTGGACTGGGAGAACTGGGACTGACTTTGGTACACACTGGAAACACGGGAAGCACACGTTACACTCCATGAACAACACACGCTTAAAATGCAAGCTTTAATGTACGATGGTCAGGTAGAGTTGTCTGAGTTTAGTTGGAACCGCCCTAAGTTGGTTTTCAGTCTTCTCGAATTACTTTGTGAAGATTGTGTCTCAGATCATATGGCCCTGACCTGTGGAGTACCACAGGGGTCGATCCTGGGACCTCTTCTGTTCAATCTCTACATGCTGCCGTTAGGTCACAGAAAGAACCAACTGGGACTCTGAGGAGCACAGGGACTGGCCTCCTGCTAGTGCCCAGAGTCAGAACTAAACATGTGGAGGCTGAATTTCAGATTCATGCAGTTAAAATCTATTACAGTCTTTCTGAAAATGTGAAACTGTTGACAAAGTTTGAATCCAGGATAAAACAGTTTTGTGTCTTTTCAATGAACAGTGATTATTTATGATTTTAATGTTTTGTTTTGTAAACCACATTGATTTCCATTGTGTATGAACTGTGCTATACAAATAAACCTTCCTTGCGCTGCCTTCAGGCTAACACTATGGGTGACATCACCACGCAGTCAGTCCACTCCTTAAACACGGTTTATGGCTTTAATCTCCTTTATTGAGTCCTCTTTAGCCTTCTGTCTGTCTCCTTGACTTGGCAGAGTGTTGCCTCAGAACAAAAATGCACTTTCCCTAATTGTGAAAAAGGCCAGCACAGGGATTGGACAGCACAGGGATTGGATAGCACAGGGATTGGATAGCACAGGGATTGGACAGCTCCGACGGCTGCTGGAGCCAAATGCAAGTCAGCTTTGTCCATGCAGCATTTTTACATCAGAAAAACTTCACAGACTTGAAGTATAAATGAAAAATGTGTGTAGTGATATCTGAGGCCTCATTGAAACCTTACCTCACTTACAAGACAGACTGAGAAGGCATGGAGCAAATTCAGCTGACATTCTTTTGTATTCACTTTGATATTCAAGCAAGGTAAAGCTCTAAATTCACACAAGGCTAAATATTCAAGTGCTTGTATTGCTGTTTTTTACATTAAATTTGAGTGTTGCAGGTTCAGTTTTGGCCAGATTTTGGGCGTACAGGCTTGGGGTAGTTCCTGATATAGAGAGAATATTGCAGTGTGTGTGCTTACTTGTTGTTGCTTTGGCCCCAGCCGTTCATGTCCCCACTGGGCTGGTGATACACAGGGGGGCCTGCCTGTCCTTGGCTCTGGACCGGGGCTTGGTGTCTGGGAGAGAGCAGAGGACTGAAGCCAGAGGAGTCCTGCTGCTGTTGCTGCTGAGGCATTCCTACAGAAGCAAGAAAACGGCCATCTATAATATATATATTTCATTATTATTATTTTTTCACTCTGGAACAATAGGTTTTTGGCACATCAGCAGGTGTACACAGTTTTTTTGTCGTGTAGTGTTCCCCAGATAATAACAGAAGTGAATAACAAAGGTGCCTAGGATTGAGCCGAGTGGGACTCCTCTCAAAATGCATGTGTTTGAAATGGTGGGAAAGCCCTGGTACCGTAGCTGCTGTAGGAGTAGGCCTGTGGAGTCGGGGCCATCCGCGGGTTTGGTGTCTGCCCTCTCATCATGAGCGCCCTCTGCTGGTGGAGCTGCTGCTGCTGTCTCTGCCGGAGGTGGTTACTGAGGTACTCGCGCTGCCTCTGAGCCAACATCTGCGCATTCACACCGCTCTGAAACCAAAACATATTTGCTGAAGCAAGTGTCCTTTAGAATAAGACTGCTCTCCGAACTAGGGCTGCAGGATTTTAAAGAAGAATCAGATGTTTCAGAAAAGCATTGAAATAATTCTGTTATGAAGTGAGCATAATGTTTAAAGTGCCGTCAGAAACTGTCAAAAAGAAGAGAACAATAGACAACAACATTAGACTGTACCCACTAAGCAAGCCGACGTTGAATCAACGTAATTTGAACGTCGTTGTCCGACGTAGAATATAGGTCACTGGTGGGTGCAGAATGAAAGTTTTCTCGACGTCGTTTCCCGACGTCACCTCAACCTCCAAATGTTACGTTGATGGCACGTCAATTCAAGGTTTGAATGTGGTACGGAACCGGTCGGGTCTGACGTCCTATCAACGTCTCATATGACCAAAATATTGACGTTTATATGACGTTCGTTTTCAGTCGTTCCCACTAAGCAAGCAGATGTCAAAACAACGTAATTCCAACGTCATCTGGACGTTCATTCAAGGTTGTAATGTGGTACAGAACCAGTCGGGTCCGACGTCCTCTCGACGTCTTATATGACCAAAATATTGACGTTGATATCACGTCCATTTACAGTCCTATTGACCTCTGTAGAATGACTTAATAGTCGAGACATACTTTTTGCAATAGGCAAGGCAAGTTTATTTGTATAGCACAGTCAAAACAAAAGGAAACTCAAAGCACTGAACAAAAGATAGAAACAATCAAACAAGGCATTACAATTATAAATATTGACAGTAAATTAAAAAGATACAAATAAAATCTCTCAAAAAATCTCTCAGTTGAAGCAGAAACAGAAGTGTTTTAAACCTGGATTTTAACATTGTCAAAGAAGAAGCCTGTCTCACATTTCCAGGAAGACCGTTCCAGATTTTAGCCTTGTGAATCTGAAATGCAGCTATATCATGTTTAGTTCTGACTCTGGGCAATAAACGATAAACACAGCATTCAAAAATCATTAGAACAACTGTAGTAGAAGGATATCAGTCATTATTGCAAATGGAGCTGCATTAAAAATCATGTTTCTCTACATCAAAGTACAAGTTAAACCATACAGGGCACAGTGTTATGAAGACTACTGTACTGAACAGTTCATGCCAAAGTAAAAAAACATGATTGTAGCGCCTATGTTTGGATCAGTATTAAAACAGGCACAAGCTACACTCTAGGTTCCCCAGATGTAAAAACACAATCTGAAAGGCAGAAGAATGCATTTATTGAATGTTGATGTTCCAACATGTGTCCTCTCTTGGTCTTCAGTCTCTCATCACAAGGTCCAAGCACAGCACCTGAAAATGTGGAACATGTTTAGTTTCAACATAATGTGGCAAAGTGATATAACAACACATAACTTTCTATTAATGCCTCAAACCACTCGATCCATCACCATGTGATACACACCTTGGCACTGCACTAGCTCGAGACACTGGAAGACACTCCGTCTGAGAAACTTGGGATAAGGCTTTGGTCATTGGAGTAATTCCATGTAAAAAACAATTGCAAATGTGCATTTGTTTCAAATGAGCCCTGAAAGCTACTTACCCTGTATTACTCTACACATGTCGCATTTCCGAGGGGGCATTTTCCCCTTGTTGCTCTTTTCCCTCATCATGAGTGAGTTGCTGAACAATCTGAGAAAAAGATAGATGTTTTCAAAGAGAATACACCAAATAATGGTTTTATTCTAAAAACAACATATTAATACAGAACAACAATCAATGTGTGAGAGTGTGATTCTTACCTTTGAACACCTTCAACACAGTCTGACACCTGTAAGACTCAAACACACATGACACATTAGGAATACACATAGAACATTAGTTATTGCAACAATCATGAAATTATACTCTATGGATTTCACAAAAAATTGACTGCATTAGCAAAGGTAAATGTATTTTAATTATCATATGGCTGGTTTTAAAGTTTATAAGAAAAAGTAAGAAATTGAATAGAGTTGCAAGCGCTAGTTAGCTTGCTACCAGCAGATGAATGGATATTTAATATTTGCAGCTAACAATAACAAAAATAACGACTGTAGTGGCTCATTTGAACAGCCACAGTGAGAAGAAGTGAAAGTCTCTGACATTGAAGACCTGGGAAGACATTAAATCCATTTATTAAACAAAGCAATACATGAACATTAAACTCTCTTTCTGCAGCAGGTAACATCTGTGTGCTCCTATGGTCCCACACCTGAACTCAACTCCAACTGATGACATCACAGGTGTCTAAATGATGGGAGTGTCCCAAATATTAAAGCTGATCTCCCTGTTTTTAAACTTAGTTTACTAAGTACTGTTGTCTTTTTGCAGTTTATAAACCATTGTGAAATATACAGTAACTTTACATTTTAGAATTGAATTATTATTTTAAAACTCAAGAATCTTAACCTTTTTTAACACATAGTTTGTTGGACAGTCTAACCTAAGAATTCTAATGTGTTAAAAATAGTTTGAAATATGAAAAACAATATCATATTTTAAACTTTAACTTAAAAACAAAAAAAGGTGTCTCCCTTTCAGCTGAGCAGTGCCAGCCGTTATTATTATTGAGAATGAGGAGTCACGTGATAATTTGGGCGGGGTCTAATACGGTCGGCCATGTTGATAGGATCCTCTATCGGTTGCCAGGGGCAACGCCACTAACGCTCAATATATAGCTACAGTCTATGCTAACGCTCCAGAGGTCTTTAACTTGAGCGGCCGTTTATTATTTTGGCAGTAGATACATCTACGATTACAACACTAGCAAGACAGTTAATGGAGAAAGTGAAGGCGAAAGGAAATGGACCGTACAGGGAAAAGCAAAACAACGTTATTTGGAGAAGCTCTCAGACATACAACAGGTAGACCCATACGAGCTTCCTGCAGCGGAGTGGCAAAAATACCTTGACTTTTTGCCTCCGTGCACGTACATGGATATAGTGAATTACCTTGTTTTCGGTGTTAGTTATTATACAATGCAGGAGTTTAGAAGTCACAAGTCACTGGAGAGTTACGAGGCTTTCTGCTGTGGTTGGGTGCAGGACTTGGCCATCTACAAGCCTCCAGGCGGTGAAAACACTGTTGTACTACAGAATAAAAAGCATGATTTAAAATTAAAAACAAAAAATCATAAGAAAAAGATAACAGATAAGTAATTCCAGCTTAAAAGAAGCCGTGCAGATTTGTACATTAGAATAAAAAATATTCAAAAGCAGCTGAGAACAGGTGGGTCTTTAACCTGGATGTAAACAAACTGAGTGTTTCAGCTGATCTGAGGCTTTCTGGGAGTTTGTTCCAGACATGTGGAGCATAGAAGCTGAATGCAGCTTCTCCGTGTCTGGTTCTGACTCTGGACTCGGATCCAGATGACATGAGGGGTTCTGGTTGGTTCATAAGTTATGAACAAGGCACTCAAACAACACTTTTGCACATGTTCGTTAAGGCACAGCAAACAGTGACAATCTTATCTAAAGGCACAGGTAAGTTGAATGTAAGAATTTGAATTTGTTGCGCACAACACCAATCACCCTCTCAACGTGAATTCTGAGATGGAAGGTCTAATCTGAGGCGCATTACAGTCAATAGGACAAGCTGGAAGGGTGAGAGCTTCCTCATCCTTCCTTGAGGCAGCTGCTGGGCCGGCGATGGAGGCTGCTGGGCTTGGGCTGGCGATGGAGGCTGCTGGGCTTGGGCTGGCGATGGAGGCTGCTGGGCTTGGGCTGGCGATGGAGGCTGCTGGGCTTGGGCTGGCGATGGAGGCTGCTGGGCTTGGGCTGGCGATGGAGGCTGCTGGGCTTGGGCTGGTGATGGAGGCTGCTGGGCTTGGGCTGGTGATGGAGGCTGCTGGGCTTGGGCTGGTGATGGAGGCTGCTGGGCTTGGGCTGGTGATGGAGGCTGCTGGGCTTGGGCTGGGAGTGATGACTGCTCCAGATGCTGGGTACTGCGCTTTACTTGCCGCTGATATCGCGCTCCATCTGTTTCTTTAACATTATTGTGGCCTAACCGCAAGGATGGTGTCCAGTCAGGGTGATTCTCCAACATCTCATATGATGGTTTACCTAGAACAGAATAATCTATGTAGTCAATGCTTTAAACTGGCAACAAGGTAGCATAATGTCATGAACAGAATCTCAACTATTTTTAGCAATCTCATATAATGGTTTACTTACGTCAGATTAATAAGATTATTAAACAATCTGGAATCTAAAGAAATATTAAACAAGAAGGTAACGCTATTCATGGTTTCATAAAAGGGCTCAGGGGGTAGTGGCAACACAAGACAAAAAAAAAGTTTGGGCACCACTGGTTTAGAGAACATAAGAGACAGAGACAAACGCACTTTGAGTGCCCATATTCCACCAACAAGGTAGGATAATGAGCAGAAACTTAAATATGCTTAGTTAAAGGCACACCGCGGACTTTGTGACCTAAAGAGTTGACACATATGAGTTATTTTATATGAATACTTGGGCCAATATACAGCGCTTGACACTTGCAATGCTCCGAGCGGGGCTGCCCTCTTGAAATACCGCCCATGTAAGTTTCGAGCAGACGGACCGTCTGCCACCAGGTCACGTGACTTGGAAGAAAGACTTGCTTTACGGCTACAGGCGCTGATATACTCATGGAGCTAAGGCTTTTGCTACTCATTTTTCACCTGCTCGACTCCTGGTCATGGCTGAGGCAAGGAAAAATTTTAAACCTTCGGAGGAGGCTAAAAAGAGGAAACGCGAAAGGGATCGTGCTGTAAGCTGCATGTCTGTATGAGCGCTGCTCTTCACCTGGTTCCTGGATGTCATCGACCGCAAAGATGTCATTCCACGCAGCACGAGCTAGACGCAGAACTCCCTCATCCAGGATATAGAAGTCCATGTGTGGTAGATTACTAATGCAGCGGTCTGGAGGCTGACCACAGCAGAGTCTCTCAATATCTGTAGGCATGTCTCTACAGTTTGAACACACACACCAGTGCATGCTGTCTGAATACACACTCAAAAGACACCGGCTGACTGTTTGACTTTTGCGACAGTGCTGAGTTGCTTGTGGCCACTAGGGGCGCTAAACGTGAAAGTTGCAGGTCTAGCGCCCCTAGTGGCCAAGAGTTACACGGTGTGCCTTTAACATTAATGGTTGGCCATTAAGCACTTTCATAGAGGCAACAGTTTGTTAGATAGTTAGCTAGGCAGCTAACTTAAGATGCACTTCAGTGTTTGCAACAGCTAGGTAACCTACACTTCTTAACTTTAAAAAAACAACATAAAGACATTTTAGGACGTACCCGAGTGAAAATGCAGAGAACACACTCTCATCGACTGGGGGTGAGATCGAAAGTAAGGTCCTTTCTTCTTATTGCAGCCAACCAAGCCATCCGGTGTCTCTTCGTCAGGTCAGACACTTGCGCTCCCTGATGTTGTATCCATTTTGTTAGCCTAAAAAATTGTAAACCGTTGTTCCTACGTTTTCCTTTCTTATTGTGTGAGGTACTGGAGCAGTTTTTCACACAGCAATGAGCTCCAGGCATGGTAAAACAGAAATAGCGACGACCTCCTTTGCTACCGAGTTAACAACAACAAGTGTTTGCCGCTGGGATCCTACCAACATGGCGGAGACGGGGAGGGGCTCTGTGCTATGACGTCAGCTCCTCACTCTCAATAGATTCATGCACTGGCAATTCAAAATACAGATAATATAAAAAAATATACTTAACAAAATCCACGTATACGTGAGAAAACAACTTACTTTCTGTCTCCAACTCTTTTCAATGTGGAAATGATACATCTATATCTAAAAACTGTGCAGACTGTGTACTTACTAGAGAGGGTGATTCCAAGTAGCTAAATAAAGCAGGGCAGCGACAGAGGTACAGATTCAACGTCATATCAACGTCTGGGAAGACATTGCTTTACGTCCAGATGCACACCTTACGTCGTTTAGACGTGGAAAACAAGTCCTCGACCGAGCGACTCACGTGTCAGGCTGTAAAGCCGTTATACTCGCGCGGCGCATAAGTGTGCGTCGGTTGTTTAGGGTGTTATGTATTATTTTGTCACAGTAGTCTGGATAAATGCCTGGCCGTGGTGTAGCGGTTGCGTAATGAGACTTCAGTCCCAACGACGCAGGTTCAAATCCCCTTCGGAAAACTTTTGACTTTTTACTTTTTAGCGAACAATTTTTCTGTTTGGTTAAAAACGAATAAACACTCAACATAAGATTATGTAGTGGCTAATAATAAAACCGGGAGGAGGCCCCGCGGAAGACCTAGGACACGCTGGAGGGACTATGTCTCTCAGCTGGCCTGGGAACGCCTTGGGGTCCCCCCGGACGAGCTGGAGGAAGTGTGTGTGGATAGGGAAGTCTGGGCGTCTCTGCTTAGACTGCTGCCCCCGCGACCCGGCAACGGATAAAGCGGAAGAAAAAAAAATGGATAATAATAAAACTTGTGAACCCATGCATTTGCATACAATCTCAAGTGCTCACCCCTTATTTGCAAACTTGAGATTGTTAGCACAACAAATGCATACATTCACAAGTTTTATTATTAGCCACTACGTAATCCTATGTTGAGTGTTTATTAGTCTTTAACCAAACAGAAAGAAATTGTTCGTTAAAAATAAAAACAAATATGTAAAGATAATAATACACACACGTGGGCTCGAACTCACGTAACCAAGGCTGCACACATTTGCTTAACCACTACACTACCGTCAGGTACACTGAGTTCGCTTCACAGCCTATATATTCTATTGCTAGATCAAGACGTACTGCGTCGGTCAGCCGATGACCTGTTTTCGACGTCTAAGGGAGGTCGGGATTGAACGTCATATCCACGTATATGGGAGGTCATTGTTTTACGTCCAGATGCGCACCTTGCACAGACGTCGTTTGGACGTAAATAAAAGGTCACGACCGACCGACGCGATATTGACGTGATCTGGAGGTTGAGTGGACGTCGGATGTTTAGTGGGTATATAGATGGACAATGCTTACCCGATAGCTAAACATTAACCAGTTTGCCTTAGCAACCATCTTAGCAACACGTCTGCCCCTGCGTGAAGCCAATTGCTGTAAGGATAAATGCTCCTATAAGGAAATTGGCTCCAGCTGGCTTAAGATAAAATTGGCTTCTGCAGCATTACGGCTAACGCTAAGGTGATGTCAGCACTCAGTCCACTCTTAATTTATGGTCTAGGACAACAACAACTAAAGAAAAAATATAAAGACAGAATTACAAGCACCTATTGAATGTAAAAACCACCCACAAAGCATAAAAGGTTTCATCATTTGTAATTTGCTAATTGCGGCCACTAAAATTGTGATTTTGATTGGAATGGGGCCGTCGTACTCTAAACCCATGTGCCGCTTCAGAAGTTGAGAAAACAAACCAAGAACTTTGGCCTCACACTTGGACTGAGACAAAGACCTGAGACTCCGCAGAGTTATAAACTCTAAGCGGACATGCCACTCATGAGCCTCGAGCCAAACCTTTTGTAATGAGTCGATATCACATATTGGTTCCACATTTTAAGTTGAATTATACTTTTGAATGATTTAACTAATTTCACCTATATAGCACATCTTAAGTACAGTTCCTCTGGCTGGGACTTTCCAGACTGACCTGGTACGGGACGTTGGACCTCAGCGGCAGGTTCAGGTTCATTTGGTTTCCCATTGGCTGTCGGTTCTACACAAACACACACAAAAGTCAGTCTGAATGATAAACAGTTTGGTTCCCAGTACAGAAACTTGAGGGTGTATACAGAAATAACCACAATGTGTGTCTTCTAAACTTACTTTCTTTTGCATTGTTTGTTTGTATTGGTTGTTTTTGTTAAGAGGAAACAGTTTTGATGATTGTTTCAATCCTTTTGTGTTGTCATAAATCTAATTTACATGACAGAATAGAAAAAAGTGTACCTCAGATTGTTATAAAGTGAGTTTATTGACTCCCCAACAGTGTACTACAGGTTACCACGACAACCTAGACTAGAGGTTACCACAAGGACAATAAACTAAAGGTCACCAAGACAACGCTGGACTACAGGTTACCACGACTTGCTTGACTACAGGTTACCACTGAAACACAGGAATACAGGTACCATGACGACACAGGACGACAGGTTTTTTGCTGCTTCCTGCTTCTCGAGAGAGCAGTCGTGTCTCTCTGCTCTGCTCTGCTTTTGCTTCGCCTTTTAATCTCCTTGAATCATTTTATTTACATTTTTTGTTTCTCCTTTAATCATTTTATTTACAAAACGAGGATTACTCCTTCTACACACTTCAGCTTTGTGGAATTTATCAACTTTAGTCATGTCGGGACGAAAGAGACGGAGAAGCGTCTGTGGCGGCTGTTGTGCTCTGGAAAATCAGCTCAAATCTCTTCAAACACGGATATCTATTGTGGAAACAGAAATGGGACTAAACCCGACTCTTCCAATGAGTGAAAATGGGATGAATGGACAGACTGGAAATGTAAGTTATGACGTCATTTCTTTTCCCAAAATCAACAATGAGAATTATTGGAACAATTGTGGAGCCAAACCCAAAGTTGACAAAGCTAAGAATGACAATAGGAGTGAAATAAGGCCACAACTAAATGTTCTGAAGACCTCAAACCGCTTTTTACCCCTTTCTGAAACAACAAAGCTGCTAAAAACTGCAGCGCCTCCACCAAGGACAAACTGTGTCCTTATCGGAGATGGTTCGGTGAAAAATGTAAACATGGAGTCCATGCTCACTGTCTCAGTTCACTCTGCAAAAGTTGCTGAGATAAGGACTCTTCTGCCTAGAGTGTTATCTGAGAACAGTGGTGTGCGTACATTATTGATCCACACGGGGGCGGTAGATATCTATGAGAAGGCAAGCGAGAAGTTACGAATGGATTTAACGCTGTTACTGGATGACCTCAAGAAAATGGACTTAACAATTTTTCTTAGTGGCCCACTGCCAAATATAGATGGAAAAATGGAGAAGTTTAGCCGTCTGTATCAGCTAAATACATTCCTACTCAATGAGTGTTCACGCAGAGGACTTGGCTTCATTGAAAACTTTAATCTGTTCTGGAATAGGCACGAGCTTTTTGAAGAAAAAGGCCCACATCTGAACAACTACGGAGTAAAAGTGCTGATGGATAACTTTGCATCTGCCCTAAGACCTCAGCCTGCGCAGCGCGTGCAGCCGTTGAAAGGGAGAAAGAAGAAGCAAAGGGCACAGACATCACGACCATCTCCACCGACTCCCGAGGTCTCTGCACCCCCACCGCCTCAAAAGAACTCCACACCTTCACGATTCAAGAAGAACTCAACACCTCCAAGGTTCCAAAAGAACTCAACACCTCCAAGGTTCCAAAAGAACTCAACACCTCCACGGCTTCGAAAGAGCTCAACGCCTCCACCCCCAGCATCATCAGCAGCTGCCACATCTTCATCAGCGCCATCAGCATATACAGCACCACCAGCAGCAGTGGATACAGCAGCAGCAGTGGCTGCTCCATCATCTTCAGCAGCAGCAGTGGCTGCTCCATCATCTTCAGCAGCAGCAGTGGATACAGCAGCAGCAGTGGCTGCTCCATCATCTTCAGCAGCACCTTCCCCACCTACAGCTCCCGTGAAGCTTCCCCCACTGCTCCAGGCTACAGTCAGGCCTGTAATGGGGGTTCCTCAACCACCTCTGTCTCCACCAAAGACTCCCTCATCACCTTCCATGGACCCGGCTTGGGTCCCCCCCGCTACATCCACTCCATCTAGGGAAAATGAGGACGACCTTTCCCTTTGTTTTCTATCCCCGCCTTCACTACTGGATTTACCGGAACAGTCTGCAGGCATGATAAGATCGGCGATGAAGACTATTCCTCTCACACCCACTGTAGCCAGATCAAGAGTCCTATCTAACATTCAAAACTACTCCCCATACGTACCTCCAAAGCCACATAGGGCGTCCAACTCAAATTCTCCCACAAAATCCACCCGTCCCTCCTCTAACCCCATAAGTATTCCACCCCCCCTCCTGCTCATTTAGCCCACCTCCCCCCTAACCCAGCACCAAGAAACCCTCCACCTCCACTCCCCCCTCGTCCACCACCCAACTCAGCCTGCCCCTCCCCTAACCCATCACCAAAAACCCATCCACCTTCAACCCCCCCCCGTCCAACTCCCAAGAACCACCCGCCTCTCCATCCTCCTCCCCCGCCTTCCCCTACCCCTCTTTTCTCTAAACACTAGGATGCAACAGGGTCTCTGCTTCGCAGCCACTGGCAGTCTAGTTAGAGGAGAGACCCGGCTGGGGCCCTGTCATGAAGCCACCTGTGCCATTCCCTTAGTGATAACACAAAGAATACATAACAGAAAAACATCTGAAGTTAATCAGTCTAATCAGGAAAATCTAATTCTTGTTCCGTGTAAGAATCAGCCGACCACAACCGCTGATCCTGAAACTTTTAAACTTGCTATGCTAAATGTCAGATCTCTTTGTAACAAGTCTTTTTTAATCAATAATTTTATTTGTTCTTATAATCTAGATCTTATGTTCATGGCTGAAACATGGCTTGACCAAAATACAGAAAATGCAGTTTTAATAGAAGCATCACCACCAAATTTCAAATTTGAATCTGAAATACGGGAAAACAAAAAAGGAGGAGGCTTAGCTGCCATTTTCAGAGACCACTTTGTCTCCCATAAAATGTCTCTTGGGAAGTTTCCGTCTTTTGAATGTGTCTTTTAAAATACAACAAAAACAATCTCCTCCAATACTTTTCGTTGTCCTATACAAGCCACCGCAGTCATGTCACAGTTTTATTGATAATTTTACAGAGTTGCTTTCAGTTGTATGCACAGATTTTGATAGTTTAGTTATTACAGGTGATTTTAATATTCATGTGGATAATGTTGATGACAGAAATGCTAAAGAGCTGAGTTCTCTTCTTGAATCTTTTGGTCTCACTCAGCATGTGAGTGGCCCCACCCACAGCAAAGGGCACACTCTAGACCTGTTAGTTACAAAGGGGGCGAACATTTATAATGTAAACGTGGTCGATGTTGCGCTTTCGGATCATTTTTGTATATTTTTTGACATGTGTTTCACTAACAAACCACCAGTGGACTCTGCAACTGTACGAAGAAGACACATAAATGAAAATACGGGTGAACTATTTATGGGAATGATAAACTTTGAGAATGCATCGTATTCTACTGTAGATGAACTGTTTAACTCTGTCACCTCTAGTGTTTTGAAAGTTCTGGACACCATCGCTCCTGTGAAGGTTAAAATAGTGAAAAATAAGCAGAAGGCGCCGTGGGCTAAAGCAGACTCGGTCAGGGCACAAAAGAGAGAGTGCCGGAGGGCCGAGCGGAAGTGGCGCAAGTCCAACCTCCAGGTTGATTACAAGATCTTCAAAGATAAGTTGTGCGAGTTTAACCAGGTGCTATGTAGTACGAGAGAAAGGTATTTTTCTGAAATGATTGAAGGCTGCAGCAACAATCTGCGTGTTCTGTTTTCAACAGTTAATAGATTAACAAACCCCCCTGTTCAAATGCCATTAGAGCTAACTTCCAAACGTAAATGTAATGAGTTTGCACATTTTTTCAATGACAAGGTTCAAGGCATCAAAAACGCCATTGTCTCGAATCCACATATAACAATCCAACAGCCAGAAAGGCTCTTTGAGCTAACTTACTTTGCACCTGTAAATGATCAAACTGTCCAAGAGATAATCTCCAGTTTGAGCTCCTCCACATGCAGCCTGGATGTACTACCCACTAGATTTCTAAAGTCTGTTCTGAGCAGTCTGTTACCTTCACTCACACAGATAGTAAACATGTCCCTTGATTCTGGAATATTCCCAAAGGCCCTGAAAACTGCAGTCATCAGGCCCCTGCTAAAAAAGAGCAGTCTGGATGCTACGGTACTTAACAACTATCGTCCCATCTCAAATCTGCCATTTATGGGGAAAGTCCTTGAGAAAGTTGTCTACCTACAGCTTACTAGATTTCTTATAATCAACAACTCATTTGATATGTTTCAGTCCGGCTTTAGACCCCACCACAGCACTGAGACTGCTCTCGTAAAGGTTACAAATGATATCCGGCTGAACACTGACGCAGGCAAAGTCTCAATCCTAATCCTGTTAGATCTAAGTGCTGCCTTTGACACCGTCGACCATGAGATCCTCTTACAGAGACTAGAGGACTGGGTTGGAGTCGCTGGCACCGCCCTAAGTTGGTTTAGGTCTTACCTTGAAGACAGGAAGTACTTTGTGGAGATTGGAAACTGTGTCTCAGATCATATGGCCCTGACCTGTGGAGTCCCACAGGGGTCGATCCTGGGACCTCTTCTGTTCAATCTCTACATGCTGCCGTTAGGTCAGTTAATACGCAGAAACAAAGTTTCCTATCATAACTATGCAGACGACACTCAGATCTATGTCTCACTGACTGCAGGAGAACATGGACCAGTGGACTCACTCCTTCACTGTATCCAACAGATCAGTGAGTGGATGCAAAACAACTTCCTTCAGCTAAACGCAGACAAAACTGAAATGATTGTCTTTGGTCCCCAGAAACAAAGAGAGAGCGTCATCTGTCACCTACAGTCTCTCTCCCTAAAACCTTCAAACAAGGTCAGAAATCTAGGGGTAATACTGGACTCAGACTTAAATTTTAATAGCCACATCAAATCAGTAACATCAGCAGCTTTTTACCATCTAAAAAACATTGCCAGGATCAAAAACATAGTGTCTAAAGCAGACCTGGAGATTCTTATCCATGCATTTGTCTCCAGTAGGTTAGACTACTGCAATGGCCTGCTCACAGGTCTGTCCAAACAGGCTGTAAAACAGCTGCAGTACATTCAAAATGCAGGAGCTCGAGTCCTGACTAGAACCAGGAAGTACGACCATATTAGTCCGGTCCTCAGGTCTCTGCACTGGCTTCCTGTGGCTCAGAGAATAGACTTTAAAACAGCTTTGCTTGTGTACAAGTCTCTCCATGGCCTCGCACCAAAATATATTAGTGACATGTTAGTCCCATATGAACCAGCCCGGACTCTGAGGAGCACAGGGACTGGACTCCTGTTAGTGCCCAGAGTCAGAACTAAACATGGGGAGGCTGCTTTTCAGATCCATGCTGCTAAAATCTGGAACAATCTTCCTGAAGATGTGAGACAGGCCTCCTCTCTGACAATGTTTAAAACCAGGTTAAAAACGGTGCTGTTTAGCTGTGCATACAACTGAGGGATTTTATATTTTTATCTTTCGTTTTAATGTTCTGTAATTATTTATGATTTTAATGCTATCTTGTTCAGCACTTTGAGTTGCCTTGTGTATGAATTGTGCTATACAAATAAACTTGCCTTGCCTTGCCTTGCCTTACCACGACAACAAAAGACTACAGGTTACCACGACGACAATAGACTACAGGTTACTACAGCAACAATAGACTACAGGTGACCTCAGCGATAATGGACTACACCACCACACGACCACGACAACACAGGATTACAGTTTTCTAGAACAATCTTATATTTTGTTTATTTGGCTGAGACACTGATGTTAATGTCCTACACTCACAAACACACACTCATTCGCACTGGTAGTAGGGGAAACCAGGTTACCATGACGGCAATGGATTGTGTGTTACCGACCCTCACTAATCGGCTCTGTGGTTTTGGCCTCACCAGTTGCGCCTGCAGCCGGTGTTGAAGCTGCATCCTCAGGTTGATGGGTGGAGGAGTCCCCATGTGTGTGGGGGCCCCTGGGCGGTGCAGGGGGCCCCTCATCATGGCCGGGTTTCCAACTCTCTGCTGCCCCATGTGTCCGGTCAGAGCAGCGCGGTGGTACGAGGCGTCGTACTGCTGCATGTGCTGAGTGTAAAGAGGGGGCTCCTGCTCCTGAGACCACAACAATATTTACTGTTTTATATATACTGCATCCTCACACCAGACCATGTACAGCCGAGCCTACAGCTCACACACTTGTGAAGGATGTAGATCATCCTTTTGTCTACAGTTCAGAGATTTACTTCATGTGTATAATGGATAGTTATAAACAGAGTGAAATATGGACCAGTCCACAGCTTTACACATGTCAAAAAATGTTTCCGTGACAGATCTGCATTAAGCAGTTTGGTACGATCCAGAAAACTTTTTCTAGCTTAAGAAATTCACGTCTTTCCATTATGTCGTTTCTGATTTGCTAAGTTTGATACGTGATGTTGAGGTTCATTGGAAACACAACTATGTAAAAGGATAAAACATGCTTTTGAGAACATGAGCAGAGGACTTTCTTTTAATTTCATTTTAAAATACAAAACACTGACGACTGAAAGACAAGAGGAAAATGTGGGAAAAGGTAAAGGGTTGGACTCACGTGTCCGACCAGCGTGGGGATCCCCAGCATCTTGTCGATCTCCTCCAAACCTTCAAAGTCTTTGAGCACGGAGCAGAGCTGACTCAGGAGCGCCCCCTCGTCTGCGTGAGCGTCACTGCAGTGTAGGGCGTCCTCGTGATGGGAGTAACCCGACCTACAACACGCCACCATTTGTGTTTGAGTTAGATGTAAACTGCTTGAACGTTACGTACCCCTGCTTTAACTCAGTCACTTCAAAACAAAATGGCCGCACCTGCTTTGGTTTCCGTAGTGATCCACGGCCATCGCACGCTCGGGCCACGGAGCCGTCTGATTGGGCGGAGGCTGAGAGTAACTGGTCGACAGCTCCATCTCTGATTGGACAAAAACACACAGGGTTAAAGCTGCTGTGCGTAGATTTTAGTGGGGGATCTACAGAGAAAAAAACATAATCAGGACTGGATCTACAGCCTCAGTCCTGGATCTACAGCCTCAGTCCTGGGTCTACAGCCTCAGTCCTGGGTCTACAGCCTCAGTCCTGGATCTACAGCCTCAGTCCTGGATCTACAGCCTCAGTCCTGGGTCTACAGCCTCAGTCCTGGGTCTACAGCCTCAGTCCTGGGTCTACAGCCTCAGTCCTGGATCTACAGCCTCAGTCCTGGATCTACAGCCTCAGTCCTGGATCTACAGCCTCAGTCCTGGGTCTACAGCTTCAGATCTCACTCACATACTGTCTGGAATGTTTATTTTCACATGCTAAAGTAAGCGTTCTCCTCACCGTTCCCAATCATCTGCAGTCCCACTCTGGCCGGAGCGCGTGTGCCCAGGGCTGGGTTCATGCCGGGGGCCAGTCTGTGCTGAGTGTGGGGCCCCTGGGTCATCATGTGTCCTCCACTTAGCGGCCCCTGAGCTGCCCACTGCTGCACTGGAGCCGGAGTCATCACATCTACACACACACACACACACACACACTTGTCTAACAAGATAATGTTGAAATGGACAAAATGGTGTGGTCTGATTTGTTCTGAGCGTTTTACTGTTTCAAAGAAGATAAATATGTGTATAGCCTTAAACCACATAAGAAGGTAGAGCGTCCTTATGGACCAACGGCTCCATGGGTTTTAATCATTGTATTGTTTGTATTTGAACTGTTGATTCTCTGATCTGTGTTGGTGAATCAAAAACTTTGTAAAGTCCTCTGAGATAACTACTGTTGTGATTTAGAGCTATACAAAAAGGATTTGAGTGCTGATGGTGCATTACCTTGGCAGCCATGTGCTCCCATCATGCCTTGCTGCTGCAGGAGTGTGTACGCGGCCGCACTGCTGCGCTGCGGTGCAAAGGCGCGCTGGGCGTTCATGCTGTGTCCTGTAGGGGGCGCTCTGCTGTGCTGCACGGCTCTGGGACCACTGAAGCCTGGGCAGAAGCAGCAGGAACCCAGGAGCTCAAAATCTCCTCAAAACCTCTTTGCACTGAGTTCATCTTTCAGAGCGTTACCTGCGGGGCTGATGGGAGGGTACCCACGATGCATCTGTGCAGAGGAGGGGGGGGTGATGAGGTCAGCTACAGGGGGGGCCGCAGGGGCACGAGGCTGGGGCCCTGTGGAGTAGAGCATCTGGGAGCTGCTTTGGAGGTCCTCCAGCAGATCCTCCAGCTCACTCTGAGACAGACACAGGCAGAGAAGGAGGTAAAGGAGAGAAACTGCTCTGTTCCACCAAAGAGAAGCTCAGAAGAACCAGGTCAACTACACCAGTGTTTTGGACCAGAAAGACAGGGGTACCAGTACAGTGTGAACAAGGACCACAAAGACAGAAGTAATAGTACCAGTTATGTTTTAAGGCGCAATGATGAGACCCCTGAACCTGCAGCTGTGCTTTGCCCTAGGAGCCTGTTCTGTCCTCACCACATGGCCTCCTCTTTCTACAGTCCTGGAGCTACAGCCTCAGTCCTGGGTCTACAGCCTCAGTCCTGGATCTACAGCCTCAGTCCTGGATCTACAGCCTCAGTCCTGGGTCTACAGCCTCAGTCCTGAATCTACAGCCTCAGTCCTGAATCTACAGCCTCAGTCCTGAATCTACAGCCTCAGTCCTGAATCTACAGCCTCAGTCTTGGGTCTACAGCCTCAGTCCTGAATCTACAGCCTCAGTCTTGGATCTACAGCCTCAGTCCTGGATCTACAGCCTCAGTCCTGGATCTACAGCCTCAGTTCTGGATCTACAGCCTTAGTTCTGGATCTACAGCCTCAGTCCTGGATCTAGAGTCTATTTAAGTGAAAACTAGTGACAGAAGAAACTGTTTTAGAGCCAAGAACAAGTGACATGGATTTTATTAGTTTTTTCTTGCGCTTTAAGAGTTACGTACCTCAGCTTTAATACATTTCAACGTCTCATTCTCTCAGCTCTGTGTTCCAATCTCTGGCTGTGGTCAATACTCTAATGAACCAGGACTAAAAATAGCCTCAGAGCGATGAGGTCACGTGGACAGAGGAGCAGGAGCCTCCACATTCTTCAGTCCCTGTGATTGTTATTGTTGATCAAAGAAGGTTCTAAAACTAAACACATGCTTTTTCTGTCGCTACATTACACCTGTATTTGATCGGCTTCTTCACTAAAAAACTATAGGTCGCAAGGCGGGTTAGAGGCCCGTGTTGCTCTGTGTGTGTTTTTGCTCCAGTGTGGAACGTGGACATCCTTTGGTAATAAATGTTTGATGTAATATTTGACGGTCCTTAGATAAAACAGATTCCAGTGAATATTAGAGCCAGGATTTTATATATATCTATTTTATATTAATTAGGGGTTTTATATTTAATGGTCGTTTGATTGTAAATAAATATTTGACCTGAGAACAGTGAGATGTATTTTGTTTCACATACATTTTTTGTATAATATTGAGTAATTACTGAATACAGACGCTTACGTAACAAAGTCCAACTGACCAGTGCCATTAGGTGAAGCAAGAGTATATTTAGAAGTATAATACATTGTGCAGACTCTTATCTTCTACCACTCAGTCGTCTGGTCTTACCACACCAACGTAATCTTTTCATTTTGTGCTAAGGTCTGGGTTTGCTCCATTGACAGCGTGAACAGGTGGGAGGGGTTAACTCCTTTTGCAGATTGAAACGATTGGATCTGTGTTCACCATTAGAGCCCTGCACGGGCCTATTATCTGGGCCCGAGCCCGGCCCTGGCCCGAGGGGGTGGCGCCCCAGCCCGGCCCGGCCCGATATGGTTTCTGAATTTTCAGGCCCGAAACCCGCATCAAGCCCGCCTTTTTTTTTTTTTTGTAACCTCCCATAACAATGTTTTAGCGTAGTATATAGTGCCGCGCACTGATATGAACGCAGACTTAGCTAGAGGGCGGAGTTATACATGGTAGTGATGTGTTGCAATGAGTTCTGTGTGTGCGGAGTGAGCGGGCGCAGCTGTATGATGACCAGATGCTGCAACACACCTGTAAGTAACGCTATGTGGCGTCAATGACAACACTACACAGAACAACAAACACTACTGCGTGATAGAACGCTATATTCAGTGGGTGCGTTCGTAAATCTATTCTGCCGCTCTGAAAATGAAGAGCCCGAGCCCGGCCCGTGTCCGAGGTCATTATGCGGTCATCGGCCCGAAGCCCGGCCCTCGGGCTGTCGGGCCGTCGGGGCCCTCGGGCCAAGGGCTCAAGTGCAGGGCTCTATTCACCATGACTTATGTATGGAGCCCGAGTGAGTGAGGCATTTAGCATCTAGCCTAGCTTTAGCCAACTTCTTTGCCACTAACGGAGCCCGTGGGGAGTAGAGCCACAACATCTTTGCTTCAGTGACATTTACTAAACATTCCTCTTGCTCCGGCTTCAGTTTCTTGATATTTGGATTGAACCAGAACAGATTATTTTACTATCGCATTCTCTGACAAACTACATAAAGCAAATTTGGCGGAAACCCTTGACGTTACAGACACCTCACTACAACACCCGCCTCCCCCGCTCTCTGATTGGTCGGAGGGGATTCAACCGAGGAAACTGCAGCCACTAGGATCAGACCCAGACGTACATGTGGCAGTCTTCACTCACAGTGATCTATAGTCGAGAGCAGTACAGTGGTTACTTTTTCAGAGGTGGACTTGGGTCTCCCGGTCCTTAACTCATTCACCTGGTGGAGTGTGACTTCAGCTGGTGGTAGGTTCAGACATATGTGAACACACTGCTCTTATTGACGCTTCCATCCGTTTTTCAGGAGCTCAAACTGGTCTGAGTGAAGGCTAACGAGTCTCACCTGTGCACCAAACCCCGCCTCTGCGCTGGTGCTCTGCTTCTCGCTCGCCTCCATCTTTATCTCTTTGTCCAGGACGCCGTTATCGTCTCTGTCCAGCAGGTAGCGCAGCAGAGCGTTGTCCTTCTTCTTTGGGCTCCCGGGCTCCACTCTGCGCTCGGCCTCGGCGCCCTCTGCTGGATCCACCACCGCAGCGCCTCCTGAAGACACACGTTCTTTACCTGCAAAAATGTTTGGAATCATTATTTTCTATTATTATACATTTTTTTCGAGGTTTGGGACTTCAGTGTGTTCAATATAATTAATTAACTACTGTAGCCACAGTTGTCCTGGGTCAGTCTGTGCCATCAGCCCCTCCGATCACCGCCAACCATTCACAGACACACCAGACTCATTCTAGGCAATGTGGGTGAAGTGTCTTGCCAAGGACACAACAACAGTTTGGCACTTTACAGCCGCAGCCGCCCCACTATGGCACTTAGTGCCATAAAAGAAAAATGTTAACTGAAAAAATACACTTTATTTCATGATAAATGGAAGGGAGACGCGTAATGTAGCCATATATTAAGTATTGATACTAATAAATAAATAAAAAAAGGGCAGGGGCCCCCAAGGGCCAACTGATTTGACACAAGCGGTCGACTTGCACAAGCTACAACAGCTACCTGCAGTGACGAGTTGGCAGAAAAAAACGTGCCACATATAAACGTTTAAAGCCCTGTCTGGAGACATACAAGTGTAGTATGTCACAGTGGTGAAGTGGTTAAGTTGCAGAGCTTGTGTCGTGATGACCCGGGTAGAAATCCGAGTGATAATTATATTTTGTAATAAACTATATATATTATATTCTATGACAGATTGCTCAAGAACGGAAAAAGGTAAAAACAATCCCCCCCCCTCACCTGTTGCCTCGGCTGTCAGCCGGGCCAGCTCCACGGGGGAGGAGCTGTTCTGTAGCAGTCGGTGCAGGATCTTGTGTTTTTCCTTTAGAGATGACGGCTGGCTCCCCCCGGCTCCCCCATCTCCCCCTTCTCCCCCGTCTTCCCCGTCTCCATCTTTACAGTCGTCAGCGGGAGAACTCTCCTCCAGAGCGTCCGGTTTACTGCGGAGCAAAAGCAACAGGCACTGGGTTAAAGGGATGTATGTGATCGGGGTCCCATCATCATTAATCTTCCTCCTGTGACACATGGATCCAACCTGCAGCACGGGACAAACATTTAATTGTTGATTATTCCAAAATGTACGATTAAATGCCCACACCTTGTAAAGACAAGTTTACCGTCTCCAGGCAGGTGTTGCAGATTTACAACAACTTAATTTCTCACTGCCTAACTCCTCCACATCCAAATCCTTGACCCTTTGTTCCTCAGAAGTAGCTTTAGCAACACAGTTTCCCACCTGCTCACTAGGGGGCGCTGTCTCACTTCCAAAATGTCAGTCTCCTTGTTTTTTCACCAAAACAGATTTTCTAGGCATCTATTTCAAGTCAGTCTATAACGCCCACATAGGTCCTTATTGTTCACTCAGGAGGGGTGAAATTCTCTATTTTACAACCAATTCTGTGTACCAGGTCTGTTTTGTTACATAAGTTTTCAATTAGTATTATTATTACTGCCCATTGATGGTGTCCTTGGAGAGACTCTATTTAAGAGTGTCGGGCACGGGGGCGCGCATGGTCTGACGTCAGACGCCCACTTGGAACAGGACCAGCAGCCTTACCTGGAGGACCGTTTCCACGGATTATAATCCCTGGTGGAGTGATTTTGTTGTTGGATTATCGTGATTTTTGGATTACTGTGATTTTGTGGGATCTAACGAGACTCTGTGGATTCTCCCTCCATGGTCGCTGCTGGGCTCCAGGACCTGTTTTGGTGGACCGTGGTGCATGCGCGGGGCCGTGAGTAGAACCGGGGCTGACACTGACACTGACACTTTCTTTATTTTCTACATAATGAGAGCACCACTGTTTGTTTGTGAATGTATTTGGATTTATTGTGCAGGATCGCGCTCGAGCGTGGGGGTTGTTGGCCTTTCATAGTGAGAACTGGATCAGTAATAAACAGCCAGTTTTGAGCCAAATGCATGTTCTGTACCTGTGCTTATTTCACCCGCTGACGTGACTATCTCCAGAGCTACAACCTTTTTAAAGCGTTGTAGCTCTGGTGTATTGGAAAAGGCAAATTGTTTGTCTCATGACCAACCTCTAATAATCTGAAACCAAAACTGCATAAAATGAACGATGAATATATAGATACAGAATATGCCAATTAATAGATTATTATATATATTCTCCTCTGGGGTTTTCCTCAGCTTCTCAGCTCTATCGTCCCAGATAGGATTGCCAGTGAAGCTCTCCCTCTCTAAAAAGTCAAGATTGTATATCACTGCCCTAAATGTTCATTCCTCCCAAATATCAGTTTTTCCTGTCATTAAATTTAATTGGGCCTTGAGAGGGTTAATAACAATAATAATAATAATGATACCGCAAACTTGTACAACACATTTTTAGACAAGGGACAAATTAAAATGAATGAATATTCAGGTGTGAGCAGTTTTGAGCAGTGATAGTTCTGAAGTGAGTTCCTGGTGTTTTGTGGGAGTGAGTTCCAGAGACTGAGGGGTCCCAAGGTTCAGGAAGTTTGGTCCCTCGAGGAAACAGTCATAATGGTGAAGGAAGAGGAGGTGGAAGGTTCTTTCTGTCTGTAACTCCCTCTGCTGCCACCAGAGGGAGCTGAAAACCCAGACATGTGATTGTAGAGAAGTCATTTCACCGGAGAAACGACTAAAACTAATTTAGGGGCAATACTATTTTTGTTTTAAAAGTCAGAAAACTGCTCTGAGTATGATGTCATAGTGGTACAATGACATCATTCTATAACTGACATATTCTATTACAGAACCTTCTAAAGCATTAAAATGACAAAGTAAATAGTATAAACCTAGCAACTGTCGGGGGCTCAGTTGGTAGAGCATTGGCCTTTGAGCCTGAAGGTCGTGGGACTCCAACTACTCCCACAAATGTCTGCTGTTGTGTCCTTGGGCAAGACACTTAACCCTACACTGCCTGAAGCCCCCGCTGAAAGACCAAGGCCATCTCGTCAATGACGGAGAAGCCATCTTCCTGTGGACCCACCACCTGCAGAGGATCACCGAGGGACTGGAGCTATGAGCATTGGGTGGCAGCTCTCATTGCCACCCCCCTGACCCAGAAATGGATTAATAAAGGAATTAAAGGAAAATAAAGGATTAATAAATGAATGAATGAATAGTCTAAACCTAACGATCAGAGAGTTTAATATTCCTGCAGACTGTGGCATGAGAGAGAAGCCGCCCACCTCTGGCTGCCCGTCAGCAGCTGCAGCAGTTTGGTGTTGGCTTTGGCGTTGAGCAGAGAGCTGGACACGTCTGCGTCTGCGTCCTTACAGCCCTCCCCCACAGACTCTGCGCTCTGGGTGATGTTCGGAGGGCTCTGCGGCTGCGCACACTTTTCCGGAGACTTTGAGCCGACACTGAGAGAGACACATAACATATGATAATAAAACATTGATAGTAAAGCCTAGCGTACATCGACAGAGAAACTGGGGACAACTAGTTGCAAGGCGGCTTTTGGCAACTGAGAGGAGATGGTGGGAGATGATCAGTTGCCAAAATTGGTCGATGTGCGCGCTCTTACAACTGGAGATGATCAGTCGGTCTCCAGTTTCAGTCAGTTGCCCGTGTTCTACTTTTCGGCAACTAGTTGTCCTCAGTTTCGGAGATATGACCCGATGTGCGCGCTCCATGCGCCGCTCCGACAACGTGTGTGTATTGCGTGTATTGCAAGCCCGCAACAGTTTATGTCAGAAAACACACTGTAGTTGAGGCCAGTTGCTGTCGATGTACGCGCTGTTATTCCCGAGACTGGTCTGCGACTGGGAGTTGCCCGTTTTCGTCAGATTGTCGATGTGTGCGGGGCAGCAACTCATATGCGACGGATATAATCAGTTGCCAGTCTGATGTACGCTAGGCTTAAGAGACTCACAAGGAGAACGCAAAATATTCAAAGATAAATAGCTGTGAATGCCTCTTATAAAGCTGTAAAAGACATGAAAACATCACTTAATCCTGTATGTCAATGATTAAATCACAGAGCAAAATCATCCTCTGAGCTGAAGGTTGAGGGTTTGAATCCTACTCCTGCATAAGGCGTTTTCACCAGTGTGGGGCTGGTCCCGGCTCCAAAAGGTCCATGAGCACGTGCAATGACATACTGCAATCTCACTCCGGATCTGTGGGGGTGTACCCGGAAAGAGAATTACCCAATGTTTTTGTCAGGCGTCTTCTTTCATCCAGAAAAGCTTATTTTTCAGGATGGTCCAAAAGTTGCTCTTGGTTCAGCGCTATCTTCTAAATGTTGTCGATAATGAGGGGAGTATTCTTTTTTTGGACCAGACCAGTTTAGCCGCTGTGGACTTTACATTGAGCTCGTCAAATGTATGGGCTCATGTGTTTTTTCACATTTTCCTGCCCCGCGGCCATTTTGAAAAAGCCCACAGGCGGCGAAAGTGGAGGTACATTAGTTTCAACAGCGGTGATAGGCGTCTGTAAATATTTACAGTCTATGATTTTCACATCTTTGTTGGTCCAGAACAAAATGAGTGAGGCCCCTATATCTGTTTAAATACATACATTTATCTCTCCAGTTTAGTTTCTCCCTGTGCTCTAAAACGCATCACTGCCTCTTGTCTCTTAAGGATTTGGTTTACGTTGGTTACATACGAGCACCAACTCTTCTGAACTGGTTTTTCACTCCTCAATCAGCGCTAGGGTTGTCACGATTATTGTGGAAGAAAAATATACATCTTTTTTTGTGTGTATTACATTTGAGATATACATATATGTAAATAGCTGAACATTATAGATATCTTAAAAATAAATGCAGGAATTGATATAGCGTAATAGTGTAGTAGTAGTCTTAGTCTTATGTCTTTGTTTCGTTGACTAAGGATACGTGCTATTGTCCCTTTCTGCGGCCGGCACTAGTACTTTCACTTTTGATATGCAGAATCCTTTGCATTAATTTCCCCCCCGACACGGTTTATGGCGTTTATTTGTGAACATTTGGAAAACTTTTTTGATAATGATGCAGTTTTATTACCTTCACTTGGATATACACCCCTTTTGCTGCAACTTTCCGACAACAGGGTTTGCACGTTGGAATTCCATCAGCAACAACCACTGTCATCTTTTGGATCCTCAAAGTGACTCAAGTCGTGGTAGACATAACTCCGGGGAGCTTGTCTTCCAGAGCCATCTTCAATTCACCGGTGAGTCTGCTTCGTGTGCAGCGGCCGTACTTCGCGCTAGAGTTTTCCGTACCAGCGGTAAACCGTGCCATCTAAAATTATTTCGGTTAACCGGTTAATCTCGGCAGCGCTCGAAAGTCAGTGCCTAGCTGTATCTTCACTCTACTCTTGTCGCAGCCCTCCTCCTCAACAGTGTTACATTAATCTGTACATCCAGCCCATATTCTTGCAGTCCTCAAGAATAAGACCTCTTGAGGACTTCAAGAGGTCTTATTCTTCATTCCAGATTGAAATACACTTAATTCCAGATTGAAATACCCACATCTCGAGCAGTGGTCAACAGTATAGTTTTAGCACTAGCGAACTTTGGCAGAACGGCGGAGTCTTACTTGTTGGAGGAGCTTCCGACAGACGAGGGCTGTGGAGAGTCGCTCTTGCGGGAGTGTGAAGCAGAGGAGACGTAGGGGCTGCCCAGAGAGGGGGGAGGCGGGGAGGTCTGGGGTCCTGGGGAGGAGCAGGAGACCGGGCGGGATGCCTTCAGGCCGGGGGAGGAGCAGGGGCTGGGCTGTGAGGTCTGGAGCCCGGGTGAGGTGCAGGAGCTGGGGTCTGGGCCACAGCAGACCGCCCCGGTGAGAGGAGAGAGCGTGGAGGTGCTCAGAGGAGACCCGGGCTTCAGGACAGCAGGGGGCGCTGCTGGGTCTGTGCTCAGGTCGGAAATGTTCTGCTCCCTGGAATCACAGACACAACTATTTATACGTCTGTTAATGTCACACTCCAACCTCCCTGATGCAGTGGTCTAAGGACAAAGTCTCTCTCTGGTCTCCCTTTGGTCTCTCTATGGTCTATCGCTCTCTGGTCTCCCTCTGGTCTCCCTCTGGTCTCCCTCTGGTCTCCCTCTGGTCTCCCTCTGGTCTCCCTCTGGTCTCTCTCTGGTCTCTCTCTGGTCTCTGTCTGGTCTCTGTCTGGTCTCTGTCTGGTCTCTGTCTGGTCTCTGTCTGGTCTCTGTCTGGTCTCTGTCTGGTCTCTGTCTGGTCTCTCTCACATTTCTCTCTGTTCTGTCTCTGGCCTTTCTCTCTGGCCTTTCTCTCTGGCCTTTCTCTCTGGCCTTTCTCTCTGGTCTTTCTCTCTGGTCTTTCTCTCTGGTCTTTCTCTCTGGTCTTTCTCTCTGGTCTTTCTCTCTGGTCTTTCTCTCTGGTCTTTCTCTCTGGTCTTTCTCTCTGGTCTTTCTCTCTGGTCTTTCTCTCTGGTCTTTCTCTTGTTTCTTTCTGGTCCGTCTCTGGTCTGTCTCTGGTACCTCTGTAGAGTGTGTTTCTGGTACCTCTGGAGGATATGCAGGGACATGTACAGCTGGGGCTCCTGGGTGTTTGCCGATCGCACCAGTTTGCTCTTGGTGTGGGCCGACACCAGGGTACCGTCCGACAGAGTGAACCGGTACAGCGGGCTGAGGGCGTGGCCACAGCGCAGGACTGACACACACAAAACACACACAGTTACTCATGCTGTAGAATTAAAGCTGAGGGACCAACTTTTTATTTTTTTCGCCTTGTAACCGGGAACTGCACTGGTGCACACTGGAGTGGTCTTGCACAGTTTTTCCAATGTGGTTTTACTGCAAATGGCAAATAAATTCTTGAATCTTGAAACTAGCCGTGTCATTAAACATGATATCTGTTCTATATTCTCTAGTGTAAAATGTGTGTGTCTTTGACCGAAGTTGTACTCGACCGCATTTGGTCTGGCACGGTTGAAAATAACAAAAACTGACTGCGGACCGTCTTCACACCCTGTGGCGACCATCCGGGCCATTTGGCTTAGTTTGTTGGTGCAAACCTGTGTGACCGGGCCCTAACTTTGCAGTCACTCCTGGCCCTGTTTAACGTTACACCAGTATTCTAGCGGTTACTGAGTCTTGGTGACTGACCTTCCTGCTGCTGTCTCTTGGCGAAACTCAGCTCTCCGTCCGTCTGAAGGTGGAAGCGTTGGATGCACCGCCGCACCAGGTCCTCCCATCCCGGCTTCATGGAGGCGCGAAGCAGAGATGTGTCCAGAGACGTGATCTTCCCTGAGCACACGCCACACGGCAGATTCAAACATGTACAAAAGACTAAAACAACAGTAGAACCTCCAGCATTGTTCCCAGAGCAATGCGTTAAAAATTTAGATTCAACCCAGCCTCAGTCCTGGATCTAGAGCCTCAGTCCTGGATCTAGAGCCTCAGTCCTGGATCTACAGCCTCAGTCCTGGATCTACAGCCTCAGTCCTGGATCTACAGCCTCAGTCCTGGATCTACAGCCTCAGTCCTGGGTCTACAGCCTCAGTCCTGGATCTACAGCCTCACTCCTGGGTCTACAGCCTCAGTCCTGGGTCTACAGCCTCAGTCCTGGATCTAGAGCCTCAGTCCTGGATCTACAGCCTCAGTCCTGGATCTACAGCCACAGTCCTGGATCTACAGCCTCAGTCCTGGATCTACAGCCTCAGTCCTGGATCTACAGCCACAGTCCTGGATCTACAGCCTCAGTCCTGGATCTACAGCCTCAGTCCTGGATCTACAGCCACAGTCCTGGATCTACAGCCTCAGTCCTGGATCTACAGCCTCAGTCCTGGATCTACAGCCACAGTCCTGGGTCTACAGCCTCAGTCCTGGATCTACGGCCTCAGTCCTGGGTGTACAGCCTCAGTCCTGGATCTACAGCCTCAGTCCTGGATCTACAGCCTCAGTCCTGGATCTACAGCCTCAGTCCTGGATCTACAGCCTCAGTCCTGGATCTACAGCTTCAGTCCTGGATCTACAGCCTCAGTCCTGGATCTACAGCCTCAGTCCTGGATCTACAGCCTCAGTCCTGGATCTACAGCTTCAGTCCTGGATCTACAGCCTCAGTCCTGGATCTACAGCCACAGTCCTGGATCTACAGCCTCAGTCCTGGATCTACAGCCTCAGTCCTGGATCTACAGCCACAGTCCTGGATCTACAGCCTCAGTCCTGGATCTACAGCCTCAGTCCTGGATCTACAGCCACAGTCCTGGGTCTACAGCCTCAGTCCTGGATCTACGGCCTCAGTCCTGGGTGTACAGCCTCAGTCCTGGATCTACAGCCTCAGTCCTGGATCTACAGCCTCAGTCCTGGATCTACAGCCTCAGTCCTGGATCTACAGCCTCAGTCCTGGATCTACAGCTTCAGTCCTGGATCTACAGCCTCAGTCCTGGGTCTACAGCCTCAGTCCTGGGTCTACAGCCTCAGTCCTGGGTCTATAGCCTCTCAGAATCTCAGGTTGGAGCTTGGAGTTGGCTTAACTGCATAAAATTCAATCCAAGCCCTAGCAATTGTTTCTACAAAATCCACATTTCCTTCCAGCCAGACACTCATGCCCCCATGCAATACTTTTGTTTTTATATAATGCACACAAGTACACACAATCAACATTTAAGGGGGGGCAGATTATCGCTGCTGGTGTCCAGAGGTATGAGATTATAAAGTGACAGAAGAATTTGTCGCTCTGAGGTCCTCACCTTGTAAATCCTGTCTCGTGGTGAAGCTCTCGTAGGTGGAGGTCGCCGCTCGCTCTTTGATTGGAACTCGCCGTGCCACACAGATCAGACACGACTGGAAATCTGGAACACACAGACTTTAGAATCTGTTTTTGAAGGGAGTCCTGGAGATGAAGGGGCCAGGGGGGAGCGGGGTCAAGGAGTGTTATGGGGGACAACAGTAAGGGTTTTTAATGATGGAGAAACCTACGCTGCCACAGGGAGAACATGCAAACTTCACACATATATGTAGATATATAGATATGTATATGTCTGCATGTCTGGCAATTTTTCTTTTCATTTTCTCCAAATGTAAAAACTGAACTAAACACAGAAAGGTCTGGAGCTGGAATCGAACCCAGAACCTTCTTGCAGTGAAACACAGAGACTGGACATTTTGGCACAAATGAACGGACGGCGCACCTTCCCCCTCCTCTTTTATGGACTGCGGCTCGGACACGGCAAAACACTGCAGCGTCTCGTACTTCTGCGGCACGTCCTGATTGGTCGGCGTGGTGGAGGGGGCGGGGCTTCCCTCAGGCTGGGGGTTGATGAGCATCCGACAGGTGAAGGTGCGGCTGTTGCGACTGGAGGCGTCGCTGCGGCTGTGGTTTACTGAGAACAGAGACGAGAGAGAGTTATTCCCACTGTCCCAAACTTACAAGGTTTATGTGAATGCGTGTGTGTGTGTGTGCGTGCGTGTAAGACCTCTTTTGGCCTAATATTGATACAAATAATATAAAAATTTCAGTTTGCGATTTGGGAACGCATATTGGAGTGATATCATACATTACTTGGGCTAACAACAACAACTACAAAAAACAGCTACAGTATTTCTTGGGATTCCCGGGAAATGCGTCGGCTTTTCCCAGGATTTGATTAATCTCATTTTCGGGAAAAATATTAAACCCTGGTCAGAACAGACTTTCAGAAGAAGTCCCTAAAGTCAGGGAGCAAGTACCAAGGACGAGAGAGGCCATAGAGAGACCTGAGAGAGACCACAGAGAAAGACCAGAGATAGACCAGAGAGAGACCTTAGAGAGACCGGAAAGAGACCAGAGACTAGAGAGAGACCAGAGAGAGACCTTAGAGAGACCGGAAAGAGACCATAGACTAGAGAGAGACCAGAGAGAGACCACAGAGAAAGACCAGAGATAGACCAGAGAGAGACCTTAGAGAGACCGGAAAGAGACCAGAGACTAGAGAGAGACCAGAGAGAGACCTTAGAGAGACCGGAAAGAGACCATAGACTAGAGAGAGACCAGAGAGAGACCTTAGAGAGACCGGAAAGAGACCATAGACTAGAGAGAGACCAGAGAGAGACCGGAGAAAGACCAGAGACTAGAGAGAGAGACCAAAGAGAGACCTTAGAGAGACCAGAGAGAGACCTTAGAGAGACCGGAGAGAGACCAGAGAGAAAGACCAGAGAGAGACCAAAGAGAGACCTTAGAGAGACCAGAGAGAGACCTTAGAGAGACCGGAGAGAAAGACCAGAGAGAGACCTGAGAGAGACCGAAAGAGACTAGAGACTAGAGAGAGACCAGAGAGAGACCGGAGATAGACCAGAGACTAGAGAGAGACCATAGAGAGAGCAGAGACTAGAGAGAGAGACCAGAGAGAGATCAAAGAGAGACCAGAGAGAGAACAAAGGGAGAGACCAGAGAGAGACCATTCTGACTACTGCTGTCCACAAATACATAGAATCTGTCTCAGGTCTCAGTGAGAGACCAGCGAGATACCAGAGAGAGAGAGATACCAGAGAGAGATCAGAGGGAAAGACTAGGGAGAGTTCTGACCCAGGCTCTTGGGCAGCAGCGTCCTCACGAACTCAGCGTGGTCTCCCACATGCAGCATGCTGTACACGCTGGAGCCCATCAGCGCCTCCTGCTGGTAGTGGAGGTACTGCGTCACGTTCTCCGACACAAACACCAGGTTCCCCTCCATGTTCACCACGAAGAAGAAGCCGTCCAGCGCCTGCGGAGAAGCACGGTGTTGGTATAAAGCTGGGGTGCGTAACTTTCAGACCGCCACAACAGAAGAATATAATCTGTAATAAAATCCATGTTACTAGTTCCTGGCTCTAAAACAGTTCTCACATGTTTGTTTGGTTTGTCACATTTTTAGATTTGCTTTTTGCTCAGACAGAACAGTGAAAAAGAGAGGACCACCCTCCCTCAGCCAATCAGCTCTCAGTCCAAAGAGTCAAAAAGTGACTCACAGGGATCTTTTACTTTTACAAGACTTTCTGTTATGTGTTACTTATGAAGCTAAAGTTAGGGACCTGAGCTTTAAGAATAAGAAAACACATTTAGAAATTCACATCACGAACTAAAATACTTCCTTGTACTTGAAGACGGGCTTTTTTAAAATCAATTTTAAATGATTAAAACCAAAAAGGGCCACCAAGTATCTATGGCCTCAGTCCTGGGTCTACAGCCTCAGTCCTGGGTCTACAACCCCAGTCCTGGGTCTACAGCCAAAGTCCTGGATCTAAAGCCTCAGTCCTGGGTCTACAGCCTCAGTCCTGGGTCTACAGCCTCAGTCCTGGGTCTACAGCCTCAGTCCTGGGTCTACAGCCTCAGTCCTGGGTCTACAGCCTCAGTCCTGGGTCTTACAGCCTCAGTCCTGGGTCTTCAGCCTCCTCCTTGTGTTTCCTCTCGTCTATAAATACTCCACGTGTGTTTGAGTGTAATCTGTTTATCCGCGGCGCTTAACTCTCAGTGGGAGGAGCTTAAAGTGCGTGTGATGAACGACACATGAACCCTGGGACTGAATGAGTCGGCAATTTTACTCCTTCACAGACGACACAAATCGATGCATTTTGAATCTCTCAAAGACCGTCTTGCTGCTCTTTGTCGTCACCGTCTCTCGGCTGGAACCCCAGAGTAAAATCATAAAACTATAAAACCATGTGCACATATATATTGTTCCGGATCACGGTCTCAATCCAGGAATTACTTGGCAAATCACATTCACATTTTCTGTAGTAGACAGAATTTTTTCAAAGTTGTATTAAAAGTATTAAAACCCGTAATTTAATTAAAAACTTGAGCTCATTGATTCAGCTGTGTAGTTCAGGCCGTACAAAATGCTGAATAGAAACGTTGCGTGACGCTCGTTCTCCTAAGCCACGCCCCCTCTAGCGTCTGCAGCGCAGGTAAACACAGCAGCATGGTTAGGAGAAGGAGGCTATACCTCAGCCCAAAAGAGGAAACAGTGAGAAGGAGAAGAGGGAACTAAAGCGAAGAAATTATTAAATCAATCCCTGATGAAACTAGCGGTAAGAAGTTGTGCTAATGCTCTGTCGCCATCTAACACGCATGTATCCGCCAGTGGGGGCGGGTCCCAGCGCAAAAGTGGCCAAAATGACGTGCGCTGACATGCTGCAATACCACCCCGGGCCGATGGGGGTGGACCCAGAAGTAGAATTAGCCAATGCTAACATATAGCATTGGCAGACCTCTCAAAAACGTCTTTAGAGGATGGACCAAAAGTTGGCTCTTGGCCCAAAGCTCCGTTCCACATGTGTGTCAATGCTGAGGGGGGTGAATTTTTTGGTCCACTCTAGTTTAGTTGCTATGAATTTTTGAAGTCTCTCGTTCAAATTAATGGAGTTGCGCCAGCTGACGCATGCGCAGATGCGTTTTTTCACAATTTTCTTGTGGGCGGGACCACCCATTTTGGATTGCTCCAGTAGAGCACATTTTTTGGCCCATTAGTTAGAACGCCGAAGATAGGCGTGACTCTGTCCATTAATATATACAGTCTTTGGTGTCCGCATGTGTGTTGAATATATTTGAATTTTAATATTAATAAAACAATGACATTTGAATATGTTTTTGAGCTTAAAGATGCAGTCAATGAAGAAGAGAACATCAGATGAAGAAAAGGCGTCGTAGAAGAAGACACAGGACGCGGCCAGGGCTATAATGCAGTTTTGCTAATTGCTAGTTTGTTAGTGGAAGTTAGCACTTGTCATGGCAGTCTAATCATTTAAAGACTTGAGCCCTAATGTAGTGTAATGCTTTTGTCGGTGCTACTCGGATGCTAATGCTAAGCTAGCATGAATCCTTTACTGCACCTTTAAGTCTAACCCTCTTTGAATTTTACTATGGATTTGCTTTCATTATATTTTAGTCTTTTATTGTGCTGCACTTTGGAAACGGGGTTTATGAAATGTGCTACATAAATAAAGTGGATTGGTTTGAACGCAGTTTTAAACAGAGTGGGGTGGGTTTAAAGTGAGCATTTGTCGCCTTTTAATCCTAACAGTGGGAATATCCAACTGTCCATCAAAGGAACTTATTTCAAAAGCTTGGGGCATTTTGGCTCAGATGAAAGAGTATGGAGCTGAGGATAGGGCATTTTGGCTCAGATGAAAGAGTATGGAGCTGAGGACAGGGCATTTTGGCTCAGATGAAAGAGTATGGAGCTGAGGACAGGGCATTTTGGCTCAGATGAAGGACGGTCACCTCCAGCATCATGGGTCCCAGTGCGTCTTTGTCGATGAGTGTTTGAGTCGAAGACACGTCGGCTTCTTGCACTTCGTCCGTCGTCTCCACCTCCGCTGCTTTTTCTGCGAAACGAAGACACGCAAACGTAAAGATACAACCACAGGGACAATGTA